GGAGCAACACCGAGGGTTGCGATCCGTTGCCGGACACGGAAAAAAGACAAAAAAAAAAAAAAAATGCATATGCACGTAAGATTTTGGATATAAGTTTGGGTATGAGCTTCATGAAGTTCATCCAATGACAGCCATCTAGGGTTCATGATCTCCATTTTAAGAAGTCTTGATACACATGGTATTTGACAAGAAACACTCTACCTATTTCTAAGCTCTCCCATATTCTAATTACATTAGGTAATCACAAGATTGTAGAATATGAATAGTTACTGCCACTTCTCAAAATGCCTATTTAGAATTAAATTATTAATGAGGGAACAATTCCCAAAGCAGACATCCAAATCCACATGTTGGCTGAACACACACACACACACATGCACACGTACACTTAAATGTAAACTGTTAATTTTAAAAGTATCTACTTTGCTCAAAATAAAGGCAGTTTAAAGACTTGAAAAATGTAAATTTACAACAACTACCTGGTTCTTCATTTAAAAATTATTTTTAGTGTCCCTTATTGTCCTATCATATTTTCTTTTATATTAACATCTGTAATAATGTATATTATTTATTAAGTACTTACTATGTACATTTACTCTGGATTCTGGAAAATTAGCTATCCAGCAAATATATATAGACTGTCTGGTATGTGTAAGATATTCTGAGAGGTGGTCGAAAGGGTTTCCAAGAAGACACAAGCATGGTCTTTTCTCTCGAGGAGACTATGGTTCAGTTTGGAGGATGCTGTGATATTAACATGCACTAAATGGTAGGTCTTTATTGAGTGCTATTCAAGCTTCAAGCTAGAGAGACAGAAATGACTTGTAGGTGAGCTTAACTTTATGAAGACAGGTCTGTATTGGGCTTTGACAGGTGGGTAGGATTTGAGAGGGCCAAAAAGAAAAGGAGGATATTTTAGTCTATTCCAGTTATCTATTGTTAAATAACAAACTATCCCAAATGTAGTCATTTGAAACAACAACACTCCTTTATTTTGCTCATGAATCTGCAATTTGAATAGGATTGGGGGGTGAGAGAGAGAAGAGCGTGTTTCTGTTCCATTTGGCATCATCTGGGGCAATTCAGAAGAGGCTAGAATCAACTGAGGGCTCCTAGTACAATCTGTCAGTTGATGCTGACGATAGCTGGAGCTGCTGACCAGAGCACCTCCACAAGCCCTTTCCATGTGGCTGTTTGGCTCCCTGCCAGCACAGAGGCTGGGTAACAAGAGCTAGTGTCGCAGGAGAACCAGGCAGAAGCTCCTTCATTTGTATGACCTGCCGTGGAAGTCATCCATTGCCGCTTCTGTCATAGTCACGAGTGCCCCCAGATCCAAGGCAGAGGGAACATAGGTTCGTCCCACTTTTAACACATTAAAATCACATTGTAGGAAGAGCATGTGGGATGGGAGATTCTGTTGTGGCCATTTTGGAAAACAGCCCACGGAAAGATAGAGTGAGGTTGCAGAGGAAGTAAAGTTAAAAGTGTTTGGAGAATCAGCTTGAGTGGAGCAGAGGATTTGTAGATAGGAGCCTGGGAAAATGTGTAGGAATCTAAGCTAAGGAGTCTGGATGTGGTCTTGCTGACACTGGTGAGGCTTTAGAGTTTTTGCCATCATCACGGTGATCATCAACTAGAATGATCTGGCTGTAAAGTGCAGGATAGTTCGCAGGGGAAGTTGGAGATGGTACCATTAACTGGGAATTTATTACAGTAGTCTAGATATGCCATGAGAAGGCCTTGCATAGGATGAAAATAGACTGGAAAAAAGTTACAGGAATGAGAGTCATTGCCAGGGAATATATGGTGTTGAAAATAATTGGATAAGAGGAATGGGGGAGGGGGGATAAGACAGTGATTAATGTCACTGTTTTGAGCTAAGGCTGTATTCTTAAAGAGCGTGGTAAAGTTTTCCAACAGAATTTGCAAGGAGCAAGTCAAAGTGTATGTATTTGGATACTTAGTGTTCCTTGAGCTCCCACAGTGAGTTCCGTACAGATAAAGGACATAATTGATATAAGTACATTTATAAAATAGATTTTTTTTTCAAGTATGATTATATAGTTTCGTTTTATCTTCAGAGTATTCCTTTGGGATATTGTTACAGGTCTCACAATCCCTTGTCTATAAAACCCAAACAGAAGTTTTTGTGAAAACCAAAAGTTTTTGTGAGCTCTTTTGTGGGCAAATCCTGACCTGAATAGATAATGAATGGACATGAGGCTATTTATAGTCTCTATTTATCCCACTTAGTGTGAATATTTTTATGTGTTTTATTTTGATATTCTGTACCTGAATCCCCATTTTATAGATGAGAATACTGACACTCAGAAAATTAAGTAATTTACCCAAGACATTCACACTGCAAAGGCTTTCTCTGTAAGCACTAACTCAGTCTCAAAAGCTGTGCCCATGAAATGTTTGCAGAAGTCGATCAGTCTCTGACACCAGGTGGTTGGCTATCATCTCTGACAGGTGCTGGTGTTTTTGCCACTAAATTGTAAATCCTCTCAAAGCGGGAACAGAGTAGTGTTTGTGTTATTTGCTTTACAATAGAAGAAACCTAATCTTTGAGGTCGAATGCAGTTGATGCGTAAATACTCCGGGTTAGGCTGTATTTTATGAGTTGATCAGTGTACACCGCCAGGTAAACCTGTGTGCTCTGTCAGTGCCCAGACGTGGAAACTAGGAGCAGACACAGTCTCCCAAGAGCAGAATGTCTGGGGCCACACCCCATCCTCTCTTGGAAACCTCATTTCAATGGCCTAAGCCGGACAAACCTGGGGCAGAGGCCATGGTGAAGTCTCTACGCTTTGAAGGATTTCAGGAGCCACATGGAAGAATGGGCCCCGGAAGGTGAGGGGCTGAGGAAGTAAGGACACACCTTCACCTGGGGCTTTCTGCTGTGAAGGCAGCCTCTGTTTTCCTGGAGGGAAAACAACTCTGGACTTCTTGCCTCCTCTCATTTGCCTCCTTCCTTGCCTAAACTCCACAGTGAATCAGCTGTGGGCTCTCAAGCATGAGATTCAATTACTTTTATTGTTGGGCTTGGCCATGATTGTCTTTAATGGTCAGAAAATTATCCAGCCTCTAAAAGAACACAACTGAAAAATTCAGCCACAATGTGTCCCTATGATTTTTGGCTGGCAGTAAAAAAGTATTTCCTTAGAGGAATTCTTTGAGACATTTGGCATTTATACTTGCTCTCCACTTTTTTTTTTTTTTTAGTCCATTCACGATCAGGCATATTTTAAGCATCCAAAAATGAAAGTATCAATTTAATGTCATTTTTGAGGTAGAAAATATTTTATAGCTGATAATCCTTACTTCTTTGTACAACATCAAGCAAATATATGAATGCTGAGCATATTCAGACCCTGACTCTAGCCCTAAATAAATTGGCTTCCTTGGGCAGCTTACTAAATATTTTTTGCAACTTGTTTCTTTATTGGGAAGAAGGAAAGAAAATTCTAAGCAACCTTACAGATCATATGATAGGAATACTAATACAAATGATATTGGTGAAATAAGTACCCCAGGAATCATAATAGTGACTTCGGGCATTTACACTAGGAATCATGTGGAAGTGATTCCAGGCCAAGCTGGAGCTGCTTTGGGTTATATGAGAACAGAGAGTCCCTGAG